TCAGAGGACAATCCTACCTTAAATATAGATGGTAACTTCGAGAATTTTACTTACCTGTGGATTCGCAAACGATAGTGTCTACTGTACCAGTTGTGGTATTATCTCTATTTACAATTTTTTTACCATTTATTAAAATTCCGTCTTCTATAAAAATTGTTGCGCAACCCATTCTAATATTATTCAACGTGATGTTTTGAACATGAACATTGAATGTACTGTCATTATCCTGCCAGGCGCTAAGCAAATGTAGCACGTTATTTGTCAACTGATTGTACTCGTCGATGCTGTTTATTACAGTGATGTTGCCGCCTAATTTTTCACATTTCTGCTGAACATTAATACATGATCCCAGGCCTTTTTGTTCATTCACTCTTATGAATTTGTAGCAGTTTGCTAATTCATAAACATCCTTGCCTATAAACATTTTAAAACACATAAAAATTAGTAGTAATTCTATATTTTTACTTATACTATATTTTTACTTGAATTTATTATTTAAATGTGTAATAAGACGTAAAATATAGGCCTATGTTGGGGTGGAATTATTTTTATATGAAATACGAAAGATACAAAACATTTTAATTGCAATCCATGTAAAATATATTTACAGAAATCCATAAGATCGACTTAATTAAAGAGGTGGGGTCGTCGGTTTCAATTGTCAGTAAATTTAATTATCAAAATAGGCCGTTTACTAACCAAGCCTCTGTCCTAACGCTGTGCTGTTTAGAATCATGGTCTTTTAAAATTTCAGGAAACGACTTTGATACCTTCGGGGTTTGACGTTGACAACTTTACCAAACAGACTATTGCTATTACAATTCTTCGGAAGAACGTTTGAGGTAAATTTGTATATCCTAATATATATTTAGGCCTATCTTATACCGGTAATATACAGTTCTTACTTGCGTCATAATTGACTTCATGTGGATCTTTGTATTTCCAGCCATCGTTTGTTGGGTATATCAAGTAACACCATGGCGCAAATTCTGTACAAGCAAATTCACTGTCAAATCAAAATTTATATTTTATCAAGCTTCAAAAGTAATTGACTCTTTGTTGTAAAATGAAATTGTTTGATTCGAATTAAGAGGGTACGAATAACCCACAACGATAAAATAAAAAAAAAATGGAGTCCTACTTTAGGGTTGGTGCCAGGATTTTCCCGACAGGAGGACCAAGGTCCCCGGGAGGGCTGATCTCCTTAAAGCGAGTAAAGTGGGCGTGATCGTGGCTCCAAATGTTATGTTTCGAAACGGTCCAGCGAGGCGAAAGTCCCGAAAATAACAATTTAGTTGTCTCAAACGCTTATTTAATGACATTACAGAGAGCCTACTAATATGTAGAAAATAGCCTGCATATATTTTTTTCTCCCCGAAGAATTCTGATTTTTTTCCCTGACGCCACCCCTTATCCTATATCCCCCACACTCTCCCTTCTATTTCCGAACTTGATCTATTCTATTGACTTATGGAGTGTTGAGTGGAAGTTTATGTAGGCCTTATTATCCACAAAGTAAGCTTAATATCGGTGTACTATTTTGCTTAAAATCGCATGTGGCGTCTTACTAGAGAGCATTAAATAATTAACAAAGAAAACTTATAAATGGTAAGCCTGATGAAACTTTAAGAACAAATTGACTTTTATCTCAGTTTTAATTGAATAAAAACATTATTAATAAAAAATAACTTACGAAGGACACTGTGCTTCAACAATTGCCATCTTCCAAGTGACGACAAGGATACATTTTATCCACTGCTGCATACTGCGTTAATAAAATATTAATAGTAGAACAGGGAGTTTTTTTCTTCTAACGCACGATAGGCCTACTGGTGTTTAGGTGGTGGTTAGGTCTTCAATTGTTAGTTTAATTCAATGTCGGTTGAATGTCTTCTCGTTATACTAATGACATCATTTCATAATACACTTCCACAAACAGCGTTTTAAACTAAGCAACTGTGTTGTAATTCCAACATTACTTTGTAGGGCAACAGGATATATCTTCCGTTTATAAAACAAATTTTGATTACTGATTGGTGTAGTGCGATGTGGTCATGCCCCTTTATAATGTACTGAAGTATTACCGTCTAATACATTATAGTGGGTATCTTGAGTTATCAAGAGGCCTATGTAGTAGGCCTATGAATAATTCCGACCTTATCGAGAGTTATTTCTTGTAATCTCTGATTGTAGGTTTGTATGTTTCCCCCTAGTTTTTACAGGGGGTGATATTGCTTCTTATGTACCGTACTCCTCACTACTAAAATGAACTTGACATTATTTTCTCAGAAGCTCAGTTACATTGTGTATACTTTAGATTCAACTACTCTATAAGTTAATCATTGCAATACTACACGTGTTGTAGTTGAAATTATAATGTATATCTGCAGGCCTAGTATGTTGATGTGACGTAATTAAGAAAATAAAGCATTAATTTTACATACGATAGGCCTACTCTCTTTATGTTCACTCTTTATAAAATAGGCCTAACTCTAATGATGTTTCATGAGAAGCATTATAACTAACTCTATGATATTTATGAGTACGATGTTTAAAATGAAATTAGCATTAAACAAACAGAAAGTGTCCTGAAAACCTTCAAGGAACTATATATTAAAATCAATTACTTGACATGCACCGGAAAGAATCTGCAGTATAATAGCCTACCTTTGGTTTTGCGTATCCGGGGCTAGTCCGAATGAAGATCTACTCAATATCCTGTACAAAGAAATATGCTGACAATAGTGTATTCTCTGTCGAGTATGTTATATGTTGTAATTTTGTACGGTAAATAACACAAAAACTCTAAAAATACTTTAGGTGCTTTTGAACTTTTTGTTATAAACTAAATACATTTATTCAACGATTATGAATATGTAACTGGTCATGGTCATCACGAACAGGTGACAAAGTGTACAAAATACATAGAAAACGTTTTAAGTGTTATACGTCTGATCAAAGAGATATCTCCTTGGTCTAATGAAGGTAAATACAGGCCTGATTATTCTAGTACTGTACTGTATACATGCACAATTAATCCTCACTGATGCGGTGGAATTCATTTCTAGTTATTAGCACAAGTATAGTAAATTAGATCAATTTACTAAACCTGGAGGTCATGGGAAAATCACAAGACAAAATCAGGTCGAAAAGTTAAGAAAGGAACTTGAAATTTTAAAATTTATAAATATTTTAATAGTTTGATCTGGTTTGCTTATTAGTGTTGTAGAACTGTTTTAAAGCTCGCAGTAATTTAATATCCATTGTGTTTGGTTTACTAAAGCCGGTTACTCACTGCGTGCGACGGCGAACGCACGCGAAGACGCGGACCCAACGGATCGTCTTTTTAATGAGGATCCGTTCAGATTGCCACTGACAATCAGCAGACGGCGTTGCGTCGTCTATCGCTAGCCGGAAGCAAATGTGGATTCGTCGTGCGACGGTCGTACGAAGCAGTGGGTGTCCGGCTTAACGATTAAAAGAGTTCTACAACAGTAAAATAATTATATTGTTTAATACACATACGGTTTTACACATAATCAATGTCTCTGGTATCTCTAAGGGCTTTACTTTAAATTAATCTATTTCCGTATTTGCCAAGTTCAACTTCATTGTTTTTTTGTTTTTTTTTTGTTTTTTTTTGTAGTATTTGTTTTAGGCGCATGGGCCATAGATATAAAAATTGCGAAAGTGGTTTTTAAACTAAGTCTCTTTATGAGGCGTAAGCGGTGGAGTTGTTTTTGTGATTAAAACATTCTGTTACCGTTTTACATTTTCCAAAAAATACAAATAATGTTGTCGATCTGCTCACAGATTATTCTTATTTAACAGTCCGTAATGTAATAATTAGAATCTGCTAATATTAACGCATAGCCTATATAGGCCTATTTATTTATTATAAGTTCCAGTAAACAATTAAAATAGGCCAATGTAATGTTTTATTGTGTACTTCTCTATATAATGATAATGCAGGTCTCATATACCGCATAATACAAGAAAGGTGCCTCTATGCACATTTAGGTTACATGAAAAAAAAAATGTAACGTTTCATTGTGTATTTCTCTATATACACCAATGAAAATTAGAAATGTTTGGAAAATTTATCAACTAATAATGTTTTACTAATAGGCTTAACTAATAACTTTAATGTTTACAGCAACTTTATACCGTTACCATTTAAATGCAAATTTGACTAAATATAGGGGCCTATACACAAACTCATTTTTCATTTTACCACTGCCGTACTTATTAAATTTCTTTTATGGAATAATCGTCTCTGTTTATTAAGCCTATATTTACAAAATATATTTTGTTTATCCAGTAAATAAGAAATAATCGGATGCAAATCAGTTTAATCATTTCTGTATACGGTATACCTGCTTTTCACAAAATGAAACAATGACATGACATTTTTACTTAAAGCTTGGTTTTATATTTTATAAAATAACCTATAAATTAAGCCTGGTTTCCAAAAAAATCGTCGACTTCTTTAGCGACGCTGATTGGCCAGTTGAATCCCGATTACGTCTGGGACAGCTGCGCAATGCACTGAGGATTGCAGTGAAAACGCTGTAGCGACTGTGTAGCGATTTTATGGAAAGTGGCTTTGTAGCGATTGTATGGAAACAAAGCTTTGCATAGCCTAAATAAGATGGCCCAAGATTAAGGCCACCAGGCATCTGAGCTAAATGTAGAGCTGATTTCAACCAATTATCGGCAGATAATAATTATTTGGTTCCACGTCCTTGTTCTCATTTTGCTTATACGCATCAATTTCACTGTAATCATCGCTAAACTGAAAATCGCGTCCTTCCTTTCATTCTTTCTCGACTCCCCTAGGAGCGCGAATACTGTTTTCATGTATATCGACACGGTCCGGTAAACGGCAACTTTCTGGTGGCGGTCTCAGTCTTAGAGAACTGCATCATGAAGAAGTCTGACCGCCAACTATGGCATGTGCATTCATTTTTGGTTTCCAGTTCGTTTGCTTCTGCCAACGTCTGGTAAGATAGATAGGATAAAACAAATATCAAAATGATGAGTAGGTGTACGAGTTTGTGTGAATCACATCAAGGATAACCCACTACTAAGTCCGAGGACTTGTTTCCGGTGTGGTACTTTTATTGGTTAATTGGGCAGTACATCGGGAGGTAATCCCCTATTCTTTACGAAGAGTGTGTGTGTTCTTCATCGGCACATGAGCCATATTGCACACAACTTAACACCTAATCCGTAAGATCGATAAGAAGACGATGCGCTATCGTGGCTTGAATTTCAGCTCTCCAACTGAGTGCAGAACATATGTGGTGGCACAAAAATAATATATCATATTCACCTATTCTTATAGCCTATAAGTAGACAAATAAGAAATAATATTCTTCACAAAGCTACTAATTTGCAGCATAGATTTTATTAAACGCGAAACCTTCGGATTTCTTTAATTTTAGGATTTTACGTGCTCTACGTACGTAAGTTACGGGTTTGCGCATGCGTATTTCGATTTGTTTACAAAAGGTGTGGAGCTATCGCGCTGCATGTTGGGTATTAACGTTAAAGTTAAGGTTAACGTCGTGTACCGAAAACTACCTGTTACTAGGCCTATTATACAGAACAGTATATTTGTTTAAACAAAGTCTATACCACTTGGAGAAGGCTAGTACCCGAAATGGTTAACGTTTTCTCTTAATCAACCTACGGCTATATGCATAGGCATAATGTTTCTGTACCTTCTGAATTTACGGCTACGTCATCCATCTTAACTAAAGTGACATTTGACTTTCACTGAGAGAGGCATCGTAGCCACCAACATAAAACACAATCACAAGTGTTCCCTTCTGCACATACGAGCTCTTTATTCCGCCATTCTATCAGTGGCGGCGCCGGGGTGGAGGGGGTACAGTCCCCCCCACCGTCGGGGAGAAAAAGCGCAATTCTTCGGGGAGAAATAGAAAATTATATTATTTTTAACATATTATTTGACTCAAAAATCGATCAAATGAGCCTTTGAAACCCCTATTGTCATATTTTCGGGGGTGGGGGGAGTGGGTTCGCCCCTTGACCAATTTCGAAGAGTTTTTAGCGACGCCAGACCACGCCCACTTTTTTTGTTTCGATTCTTATATAAAGTTCTTTAAGAATCTAATCACTATAGCACCTCGCATTTCATTTTAGTTCTTTAATCCCTAACTGTGAAAGAAAGATTCTTGTGTTTACATTCTGTTCTTAGACCTTTTTTTAATACAACACAATTTAGACTTTTACCTGAATTCTGGTATACCCCTTCACCTCCGATATCGTGGTATATATGTGGAACTGCGGTATCGTGGTATTCGACTCCAACTGCGGACTCGTGATTTTCAAATGTTACATCGTTAGCTGTAGTATTTCGATTTAGGCCAACAATTTTATGTGACGCATCGTGTACATCTTTAGCTACGTATTGATGATAATAAACTTTAGCTACAGGTTTGCCATTTCTGTATAAGAATAAAGTACCAACGCGTTAATCTTGACTAATTAAAGTACCAGAGTGGGTAACTATGTACTCATCATAATAAAACGTATTACAGTAGTTGTTTTAAAATTGATAGATTACTTGTATTACTATTTAGATATTTTGAGGATGTATAATTACTTATATATAAGCCCTATTAATATTACTTTTATTGTAATGACAATATAACAATTGTTATTATTATTATTATTATTATTATTATTATTATTATTATTATTATTATTATTATTATTATTATTATTATTATTATTCCACAATGATACAGGGCCGTAGCCAGGATTGCCATTGGTGCGAGGGAAGATGGTGAATGGTTGTGTGAAAATAGAACTGTGGTATGGGTCGCCAAGGGGAAGGAACGTTTAGATCACAGTTTTTGTATTACAGGGCATAGTCATGGTCCTGATAGATTATTGAATTAAAATGGTAAGATTTTAGGTTTTATTAGATATTAAGTTTTATAACAGAAAATAATACATTTTTAATCAGTATAATTTCCGACCACTTAAAAATGTGGATCTTTACGATCGGGGGTGTAGGGAATGCGTATACGCACCAAACTCCCCCTCTGTTCCTGTAATAATATTTTTTTTATTTCTAAAGTACATAGTCCCTCTTTGCGCTCTACGCTCTTTGCGCTCTACACCAATGTTTTAGAAAAATACATTACATCTTGTGGAGGCAAGTAGTGGTGCTGATACGTTATTATTAGATATTGGTATATTATATTAACCTATTATTATGAGGAAACTATTATTCCTAATTTAATATGAATAATAACATTAAAGATAATTATTACTGTATTATAATAAGAATAATTTAATAAGGACAATATAATAATAATAGGCCTACTGATAATAATAGTAATAATATTACGTATATTATATTAACCTATTTTATAAGGAAACACATTATTGCTAATTTAATATGAATAGGCCTAATAACAATAATAATTATTATAAAAAAATTTAATAATGACAATATATTAATAATAATACTTATAATGATATACGGTAACATTTATAGTAATACTATTACATATAATAATGGTGATGATGGCGACAATGATGATGATGACGACGACGACGATTACCGCACTAACACTGACAATGACAATGGTAATGATAATAATCATGATAATAATCACTTATAATCATAACCATAACTATAATGGTAACATATGGCGTGATGGAATAATAGACAATAACTGGATTTGCGTCAGGAGAAACATGTATAGGTGTAATTTTGCCCTACCTGACGTGGAAATGTCAACACTGCAGTACCCGCTGCTTACTTGGACTCGAATTCAACCCTGGTCATCAGGCGCACGCTCGGTGGTCTAGAGGTATGATGCCAGGCTAGTGATCTGGAGATCGTGGGTTCGAGTCCCACCCGAGAACAACTTGCGATTTTCTTCGCAGTTGTTTTCAAATGTACTGAGTATTCGGTACATTTCCACGTCAGGTAGGGCAAAATTACACCTATATAATGGTAACCACATAAATAACTATAACCATAATCACATCCTTAATCATAATCGTTCAGTTAACGTCATGATGTAATACAGTAGCATTATTACCCTGATGTTGTTCTTCTCTGCCTGCGTCGTATAAGTAATAAACTTAGTAAAATTATTGCTATTGTGACCACGACACTTGACGTTATAACACCAACAATCCACAAGTTAGCACCCTCTTTCATTTCTGATTTGGTTTCGGTTAATGGATTCGTAAATTTAATTGTTGTAGGCGCAGGAAATATTCTTGTAATCACGTCTTGAGTAATAAAACATAAAGTTATGTTAGTTTTGTTTGATTTGTTGTTTCTTTTAACCTGAAATGAGATGGTTTATATTAAACGTACACAAGACAAATTTACGACTGTAAAATGTGTAAAATCTGCGCAATCTCAGAGATGTAGGCCTACCGATAATCTTACAGTGCACAGATATTATAGACATGTGCAGTTTTATCTGGTCTATAATTGACATGTGAGTCATAATTGAAACATTGAAACATTTTCTTCAAATATTTAAAAAAATAAAAGAATTTAAAAGAAACAGAAACAAACTAGTAACAAATAAAAAATAGAAGCAAACAAGTTGCCTGTGATTCATACTATGTTGCTGTGGGGTGTCTAGAAGGAAGAGAACCCCACTCCAACTGATCTACATTCGAGGAATATAATTCAATTATTTCGTAGCTAAACACTCTTTGAACAAGCATCAAGAGGTGTCTATTAAAATTTGTTTCAACTATTCGGGGCTGACGTAAGTATGGACCTATGTCTGGGATTTTAAACCTGCCCGGGGACTTTTAACCTTACGTCGGGATATCTCTGGCGCCGCTACTGATGATTTGTATGTAGTAACGTGAGTATATTTGTAGACGTCAATGCCAGCATAAAAATAGGTGGCAATTATGAGAAGTAAAAGTTTTCTTAACCCACCGCTTTCCTCGACTAACCACTTTCCCATGGATTCACAAACGATACTGTTCACTATACCAGTTGTAGTATTATCACTGTATATGTTTATAGTATTACTTGTATATCCGTCTCCAATCATAATCGTTGCGCAACCCATGCTAATATTATTTAGCAAGGGGTTTTGGACATGAACACTGAATGTACTCTTTTGACCGACGCTAAGGGCATGTAGCACATTATATGTCAACTGTTCGTACTCGTCGATGCTGTCTATTACGGTGATGTTGCCACCTTCTTCTTCGCATAAAAGCTGAGCATTAGCACATGAACTCACGCATTCATCTTCATATACTCTTAGGAATTTGTAGCAGTTTGGAGATTCATAAACATATTCGTCTGTAAACATTTTTAAAAACATGAAAATTAATGTGATTATTATTCATTCATACATTTATTAAATAGACGCAAAATTCTGTTGAGGTGGGAACTTTCATTATAAGAAATATGAAAGACAGAAAACTTTTTAATTGTAATCCGTATAAAATATATACTGGTATAGGCCTATATTTAATTCCATAATATATGGTTAATGGTTAATGGTTATTAATTTATAGAGCGCAAAATACAAAAAGTCTCTAAGCGCTATCAGGCAAGTGTAAAGATGGAACGGAAACCAAAACCACAAAATAAATAATATCATCTTAAAGAGAGGCAAGTATCGTCGGTTCCAGTTGTCAGTAATTTAAATTGCCAAAATTGGCAGTTTACTAATCAAGCCTCTGCAAAAAACGTCATTTAGGACCATGTCATTTTAAGTCTCAGCAAACGGTACCGGACTCGAATTCGTTCAGAGTTAGGCGTTGACAACTTTAACAGGGACATACCTGCCAACCGTCCCGATTTAATCAGGATCGTCCCGAATTCCGATGTCATAAATCCCCAAAAAATCGGGACGTCCCTATTTTTAGAATTAAAAAAAAAAAAAATTACATTGTAAGAAGTATCTCGACTTGCCAGTGTTATCTAGGGAATATTAGTCCGTAGTTCCCTGGGTATAATCCCATTCCTATGAAAGCGAAATTGGCCTGTTTTTTTTCTTTTTTTGGAGGAAGGGGGTGGGGGTGGAATTATACCCGGGGATTCCCTAGTGCATGAACAGAACGAATGACGATCGTTTTGCGAAGTGCCAGACGCATTTCAACAATTGCCCTACGATTCAATTAGCCTCGATATATCAAAAACCAATGAATAGCGTTCCTATTTCTGATGTTCGAATGTTGGCAGGTATGCACGGAGAATATTGTTTTTTTTTTTGTTTTTTTTTTGTTTTGTTTTTTTTTTTTTTGTATGATTTTTTGGGGGGATAAATCTGTGTCTACAAAATATAAATTTATTTTATAATATGCAATTTTTACTTCCGTCATAAATGACTCCACGTGGATCTTTGTATTTCCAACCATCGTTGTTAGTTGGGTATATCATGTAACACCATGGCGCAAATTCTGGACAATCAAATTCACTGAAAAGTAACAAATAATAGTTTAGCAAGCTAAAAAAGTAATCAAGGCTTTGTTGTTATACACCTCAAAACATCTTCCATTATTTTTTTTTATCTTATAATTTGGATATTGTTTTTCATCATTTTGATTTAATCACTACTACGTTTTGATCTTTCCAATTTTCTATGTATATATGTTGAACAGACTTCATTTAAAAATGATGTATGTTTTAATCTCCCTCGTATATGTTTGAACAGGACCATATGAAAAACAGACAATAACAACCACCTGATATGTTTTAATATTGTATAAATATGTTTGAAATATTAAAAAAAACAGAAAAAAAACATAATGACAATTTTCACCTTCTTGTTTCCGAACCTTGATCTACCCTGTAGACTTGCTTTTTATGTTCAAAGAGAACATAGGCCTATGCCCAATGTACTTATTTATTAATTTATTCGTCTTCACACTGGCATACATAACTGAGATAAATTTGCAAGTGCCGGAAAAACGGCCAACGGGTGATTAATCAAGACACCTCTGATAGCAGCCAATCCCGAATTGCACAGGTAAGAAGATATGAAGAATAATCAACGATGTAAATATAAAAATAAAACACTAAAATTTGTAACATGGAACTCTATACATAAAAAAATAATAAAACATTCTCAGTAACATATCTTCAGGCATTGCATTAATAAAAAATATATTAATTGTAAGTCTGATGAAACTTTAAGAGCAACATTGCTTTAATATCAGTTTAATAAAAATTAAGTGCAATAAACAATTATTGATACAAATAACTTACGAAGAACGCTGTGCTCCAACTATCGCTATCTTCCAAGCGACGACAAGGATAATCTGTACCCACCGCTGCATACTACGTTAATAAGAGGAAAAGTGAGACCTCGAAACCAAAAGTTGTTTTTTTTTTCAAGTAACGCACGATGTCGTTGGCCTCAGGTTCAGTTTTAGTGATATTGATTTCACCAAAAAACAGGTTGTCAATTAAACGATTGTATTTTGCTTTTAACAAAATCACTTTCTGGGCCTAAAACTCTTCTTTTTATAAAACATATCGATTACTGATTGGTGTATTGCGATGTAGTCTTTAAACGTTGAACGTTTTAACTTTATACTGCACGTTGCTTCCGTATCACGTGCTGATAAATGACTCTTCAGTTAACAAGTAGGCCAAGGTAGTTGATTAACTCCGACCTTATTGAAAGTGTTTATTCCTTAATTATTTTT